GGGTCCTCATTTTACCCACCTCGGAAGGATGGAAGTCTGAGTCAACCTTGAGCCAGTGAGATTTGATCCGCTGATCTGCTGAACTAGCAGTCAGCTGAAGTAGCTGCAGTACTGCACCCTAACCACTGTGCCACCTCGGCTCATTGGTTCTGGGTTATAGAAACTTTCAATGAAAAAGATTTTTTTGGAAAAAAGTGCAATAAATGTGAAAGAACTAGTTTTAGAAGCTATCTGAATAGAATACAGTTTAATGTCAGCAGTGGTGAGTTTCAAATTTTTTTACTACTGGTTCTGTGGGTGTGGCTTGGTGGGTTTGGCAGGGGAAGGAAACTGTAAAATCTCCATTCCCTCCCCACTCCAGGGGAAGGTTACTGCAAAATCCCCATTTCCTCCCAATCAGCTGGGACTTGGGAGGCAGAGAATAGATGGGGGTGGGGCCAGTCAGAATTTTTACCACCGGTTCTCCGAACTACTCAAAATTTCCGCTACCGGTTCTCCAGAACTGGTCAGAACCTGCTGAAACCCACCTCTGAATGTCAGGCTTCAGAAAGCTAGGCAAGAGCAAGAAAGCAAGACTACATGGATTTCAGTAAGGTATTTTTGATACCAGTCTTAAGTAAATACAGATTTTTGGAAGCTGTAATCGGAAAACCCCAGATCATTTATAATGAATTAATTGTATTTATTTACACAATTTAAAACCATTTTACTGCAAAGGGACTCTGGATTGCTTATATTAAAAATAAACAGAATACAGAATAACAGAGTTGAAAGAGATCTTGGAGGTCTTCTAGTCTTCTAGTCCAACCCCCTGATCAAGCAGGAGACATTATGCCATTCTGAACACTTGGGTGTCCAATCTCTTCTTCCAATTAAATAAACTAATAAGAAAAATCCCATGCATCTGAACAAACCCATTCCCTCAAAAGGGACGTACAAGTAATTCTCAATTTGCGATTACAATTAGGATCGAAATTTTGGTTGCTAAGCAATGTCATTAAGTGAGTCATCACATGCCTGGACCCAATTTTGCAACCAATTTATCATGACTGAAAGTGAATTACTGCAATTGTTAAGCGAATCTGTGAGAAGAAAATCCTCTCAGCATATTGCTGCAGTCATTGATTGGTTTCCGGTCTGAACATTTGAATAAACCAATCAGAGCGCAGCCTCAGGCTCTGAGCTTTCCCAGGCTTTTCAACGGACAATGAGTCAGCATATAAACAACTGCCAAGACAGGCACACACAGACGATGAGAAGCTGAAGCTGAAGCTGAAGCTGAACAGAGAGGGAGAAGAAAAAAGCTGAGTCACTGCCTTGCTTCTGAGGAAGCAGACAAAGGACTGAGAACTTCCCATGTTGTGGGATGACTCCAGGAAGAGCTGATGGACTTTGCTGAGAGGCGAGCTTTTGGTTGTTGGCGTTTTCTTGCAGGCTTTGTTTTTATGTGTTCTTTTATTAAACCAAATAGTTTCTTAAGACTCCTCTCTCAACTTGCATGCTTTGGTGCGTTTGTGTGTGTAATCGGATCACGGTCCATTAAGTACAGAACTTCCCTTCACAGAAACACATGGTCATTCAGCAAATCCAGCTTCCCCAAATGACTTTGCTTGTCAGAAGCCACCTGGGAAGATCACAAATCATGATCACATGGCCACAAAACACAATCATAAATATCAGCCAGTTGCCCAGTATCTGAATTGTGATCATGTGTCCACAGGAGCGGTGAGACAATTGGAATTTGGAGGATGTCATAAATCATTTTTTTCCCAAGGTCATCATAACTTCGAACCAATATTAAATGAATGGTTATAAGTTGTAACCTGTATAACCAATCGGGCTCCACAAATACTTGCTCAAATTCTGGGAGAACAGTTAAATTTTTAAAGACTTCTGGAATGTTATCAGGTTGGGATTAACGTTGAGTTTCTTTGAGTACTTTCCAAAGCCTCTTTCCAGATTTCTTTCCATATGGGCTATGTTGCTATTTATGAGAAAAATTGTAAATTAACATGCTTGGTATCTCTTCAACTTCCTTCTCAACCTTGATGTTAAAAGTACTACAGTATCTTCTTTGAACATTCAGTGCATCTTGACATTTAATGTACTGTATTAAAAAAGATGAACTCTGTGTTGGGTTTATTATAATGAGCATAAGGCACACCTCTTGTACCTGTAGGCAAATTAGAATGTACTAAAAAGTGCATTCTAGTGATTGAAGGCAAATTAAAATGTATTAGATTTGTATAGATTTGAACATACTAGAATAAAGAACTTGTTTTTAGCAACAAAGTACTAAGTGTACTTAGTTTATAAATTACTGTGAATCTGAAATAATTTAAAGAAAAAAAATGACATGAAAAAATAAAGAGGTCACCAAGTCCAAATTTCTGGTTTTGAACAGTGATAGCTGAGGATGATATCTGATTATGTTAACCTTATTAACCTTATCTTATTATGTTAATTGCATTGGTTATTTAAAAAACCCCCTCTATGATTCAGCATTATATGAGATCAGATGCAGACAAAGCACCATTTGTAAAGTTTTTGGTAAACAGTGATTGTTGGATGTTGCAAGCAACTAAACCAAGCTCCACCTTACAGAATGAATCTTATATATTATTTAGAGCAAAACATGTAGCATATTTTGGAGTAGAACTATATGCAATAAATTCTAGTAACAATCAATATTAATGTACATTGCTATAGATGTCACTGAGAGGTCTGAGATGCGATGTAAATAAGAATTCATACACATGCTTCCATTGATTTCAATGGGATTTACTCTCAGATAAGTACATGTAAGCTTCCAACCACAATGTCTGAGATCGATTATGTGGTAGTCTAGACATTAGTGTGGCTGTGTATTTAAAAGTCACAAATTTACAGGATAAACTAATAATTGGAATAGTAGCAGTACCAGTAATACATTAATAGAAATTAAAAAGATATGAATCAGTACTTTGTCAAAGCTTGCAGATTCAGAAATTATAAGTGATTATGTTTGCATTTATCTATCAAAGGGATATTTAACTCAGCCTGCACCTGAAGTGCAGTAAGGAAAAAAAAATTAGTAAGAATCAATTTTATGAATATATTGTTTAGTCTTCATGAAGTTTTCCATGAACTTAAAAATGGTGGCTGACATACATTACAAACTGAAAAAGTTACAATTATTCTAATGTTCTTTGCAATCATTGCGTTTTCCTCAAATTTGGTTAGAAGAATACTGATGGACGAGTAGCTCTGGTTTAACAACTGCAATTGGGACTAGTGACTCAGTTGATAAGTGGTTGCTAGGTGGAAAAAATCACATGACTTTGCTTACAATTTTACTTCAGCTTTTCCTTGCTTTACAGGTCACCTTAAGACTTGTGGACTTCAATTCCTAGAAATCCCCAGCTAGCCATGAATTGAACTCCACAACTCTTAAGGTGGCTGTAAATCCCTGCTTTACAGCCTCAGAAGGATATAACTCCAAAGCCAGGTGAGCTCAAACAGCAGAGGAGATTTCTGTAATTCAACTTGGAAAGCTGGGTAAAAAAAGAGAGCAAATCTTACTGCCTTTTTTCTCCACTCCTCTGTCCTTTGGAATGCTCATCCCAGCGCTAGGATAATGATCAAGAAGAGAATTTATATTTATATTTACATTCACTGGAGAGGAAGGGAATACAAGAGAATAAGCAGGCACACAATGGGAAATACACATCAAAAGGAATATGTTAGCACCAGCTGTTTGCCTACTGTACTTGTGAGCCACAGGGAACAAAAAGGCAAACAAAAGCCTCTACTAGGAAATTGATTAAGGTCTTGTCAATTTCAGGCAGTAGGTGCCAACTGGAAAGAGGTTTCTGATCAGCTAATTAAGGTCACAGAGCTGAGTTTAGCACTTTTTGAGACGCCCCGACTGGTACAGAAAAACAGCTCAGGAAAAAAGATTTTTGTTTATCTGAGGAAGAGAAAAGGGGGGAAAAATGGATCAGGCACAAGACAAGGCTGCACACATGTCAGAGAGAGTTGAATATCATAAATTCAGGCACTGGTTGCAAAGTTACTTTTTCATCTCCATGGTAACTGCAAACAAATGGTTTTCAAGGCAGTTGGTAAATGAGACTGCCAGTAAATAATCCAGACTGTCATGAAAGGCAATGCCATAAGGCTATATAAGAGGACTAAGATATATGAAAACTTTTTCGGAGTCCTCCAGAGGCTCTATCCTTCCTGTCTAGATTTGGCTATGAAAGATAAATGTTAAAAAAAAAACACTCTATGATAATCATGGTATTCTGAGTAATGGGATTGAGTGAAAAAACAATTTGGTAACTGAGGTTCTGTTTTCAAGCCCTGCTTTTTTACATGTGTGAGAGAATAGGACAATAATTGTACAATGCATGCATATAAGCATACATTTGCACATGTCATCAGAAGTCAAGAATGATTTAAGACTTATTTAATATTCTGTCTGTACATGCACACAAGCAAACATTTGCACATTGTAGTCACCAGAAGTCAATAATGATTCAAAGACTATTACTTTAACATTCTGCCTGTATTTTGTACAACTCCAGGCAACATACCTAAAGTGTTTTTCCTCACAACAATTATATGAGGTGGGTTGAACTGAGGGAGTAACTGCTCCAAACTCACCCCACCAGCTTATGCGCCAAACATGATTAAAGCTCATATTCAATGGTTTCTAGTCCAGCCCCTTGACCACAATTACAAGTTGGCTCCAATATTATTGTGTGTATGATTCAAGTCCTCTAAACACAGAAACTGGGTGGATGATTTTGGCTAGTGGAATTTGAAAAATATGTATCAACCAACCCATGCTATAATCAACCCATGTGGTAAGCCATAACTTCATGAAAGTGTGTGTGTATGTGTATTCTGTCTCCATATCTGTTGATTGATTGGTGCCATCAAATTGTTGTTGAGTTTTAGCAACCATATAACAGATTTTCCTTGATGATGATTTGTCCTTAACCATGTCTTTTAGGTCTTTCAATGGTGTATCCATCACTGTGAATATCTGCTGTGCAGCTGGTTGTCATCTCTTTCTCAAACATTAGAGAAGGTAGGTCAGAACGTGTCTGAAGTAGTTCTTATTTCTTTATATTTTTTTCTGAGTTATTTTATATTGCTTAAGAGATGAAAGGGAGAGGAGAGCTGGTTGAGGAATAAATTGAATTGTTTGTTTTTCTGTCTTCTTAGGTCACAACTTGAAAAAAGTAAGAGGATATTATGTCTCTGGAATTCCACTGTAGAATATTTGTTAGATAATCTCTCTAGATGTTGAAACATGTCTTATTACATTACTGTTAAAAGAAGTGGTTTGTATAATCCTAATAACCTTGGATGAAAAGATAATAATTTGTTTTAGTGAGTAATCTGTTCTTCTTATAGTCTCAGGTATTCCTAAGACTTCTGATGTTACAGTTCAAAGACAGCAATTCGATAAATAATTTTCTTTGTTCACTCTTTCTGATGATCCTGCATGCAGTCATATACTGTATTACAAATTATAGCCTTGACAATTCATCACCATCAGCATTAATTTTGATATCCTTTTGTTAATAATAATGGCTACTGAATTTCTCAATGTTTTTCTTTTTTGCATTAGAAGATCTGATGCTCTTCTGATGTGAATTGACCCAGTCCAGTCCAATTGACTGATTCCTTGAATAACAATATTCACTTTTGACATTTCTTTTCTGACAACATCAAATTTGCCTTGGTTTATGGTTCTAGAATTCAGTGTATCAATAGTATTAATATCTTTCTAATACTGAACTTTCCTATGGCCAGCAGGTGGACAGCCTTTTAATTTTAATTCAGCCATTTCATAATTGTTATTGTTGTTCATATTTACTCTCTGACATTTCCCAGTAGCGCTCTGGATATCTTCTGATCTAGGAATGAGGGATGGGGCTGATGGGATCACCATTGGGATGCACATGTACTTTTACCACTACAAGAGAACAATCCATGTTGAGGATTGTTATATGTCCTATGCTTAAAAAAAATCTTCAATTTTATTATTGTAAACCACCTACAGTAGCCCTATGGCAAGTTAGGTGAAAAATAAATTTAACAAACAATATCTTTCAATGAGTAAATAACACCAATGAGAAGAAACATTACAATAAAACAGTGGTTTTACTATTGTTATTGTATTGGTATTATATCCAAGCATCATGAACTGAACAAGTTATAAATTTGGACACTGTAATTCTTTTCCATTTTGAACTTGTTCTGGATTGGAGAACAGTCTTTGAGTTTGGAAGGAGACCAATTTCTTCACAGACTCAAGTCTGACTTTGAAAAGATTTATTTATTAAAATCTCTCCTTGATCTTCAATTGATGAAAAACATCATAGTGTACAGTAGATCATATGAAATAGAAGGAATAGAAGCAAAAAATTAAGAAAACACAGGTTTGGCATGATCTCTCTTTTTCCTGTTGGTTGCAAGGAAATTGACATTATGTATTTGCTGCTACTCCCAAAATTATTTAAATTTGGTTGAAAGGATTCAATTGGAACAGTTGAAGTGACTTTAACTCAGAATACTATAGTCCTGTTCAAAGATCAGCATCATTTGAGAAGAGAGACTGATACAGTGCTCTGGTCAAGGGTAAGATACATATACTCATTCTTGTTAAATTGTAGGTGCAAGAATGGACAGGACACGCAGTAGAATCAACACTTTTATTAGCTCCGTAAATCGCAATGGGGAATCCTAGCCGCGACAGCTCCTTTTATAGCTAGGAGCTGTCTGCGGCTTCAGCCACTGACGTTACTCTGAATTTCCCGCTCTCATCCCTGATTGGTCCGTTCAAATCTGCCATTCAATACTCAACAATTCTCATATGTCTTTATGGCTCCATTTATAGTCTTATTTAGAACAGATGCAGAACCATTTGCCTAACAGCCCAAATTAAGCCTATTATTTGCAGAATTGTGATGTGTTTTTTTCTTCAGAGCACTGAGGTCTGAAAGATCTATTATGTAGAGGGAAATGGGAAGGCTATGTTGATAAGAAACTAATGGTATATTAGACAGAATGATGAAGGGCTGGGAAAAGTTGAATTGTTGACCAGAGTAGCTTTCAAACAAGAGGAGTAGGGTATTTGCAGCTGATGTTAAGACTTTCTGTTGCATATTGGTGCATATGTCACAGGATAAGTCATAACCATTATGAAAAGAGAAACTCATTCTATAATCAGGATTTAGCAATACCATAAGGATGGATAATATATGGTTTTCCAGATCTCAGAGAATTCCAACTTGCCTGACAGAATAGACAGAATAGTTAGGAGTCAGAAGTATGGGAGTTGTTATCCTACACCTGGAGGATCATTAACTGGAGGGTGTAGGAAGTTACCATCAACAGTTTCCTTTACAGTTTGTGAATTTGGAATCTCAGAATAAATGCTTTATTTTCTTCAGGAACAGAAGGCAGGTTTGAAAGCAGGCGTACTTACTTTGCCTAGCTGAAATGCAATTAAACTACTGTCATCTAAGTACAAGATGCAATCAAACTACTGTCATCTAACAAATTTACGTGCTTTTCTTTTTATTGACCATGACCTGACAATCTCTTTTTTTCTTGTATGTCCCCATGACATTGCCTTCATTTGCTATCCAGTCTGAATCTGTGACAGCTTTCAATGGATCTTAGCTATATCAGTATTAAAGTAGTGTTTCTCTCTTATTCCTGTGCATATGTTATAATGGATGTAATCTGACAAATTCAATGATCATTCTTTCAGCAGTTTGCTCAGCTGATCCCCAAAGATGGGCTTGACCCATGTCCTATTTTAGGACCCCTTAAGTCTGGTATGGTCAAACCTCCTCCACTCTGGTCAGGGGTGAAATCTACTTACCATCCCAACCGGTTTGGAAGTGCATGCATGCGTCACATGTGCTCACGGACCCTCTGCCCATGTGCAAACCCTTCTGCGCGTGCGCAGAGCATAAAAAACAGGTTACTTCCTGGTTAAAACCAGGAAGTAATGACTACCGGGTAAGTGGGTGGAGCCTCGCGCCGCCATTACTACCAGTTCTCCGAACCACCAGCCACCACTGCTACCAGTTTAGCTGAACTGGTCCAAACCGGGAGCATTTCACCTCTGATTCTGATCCCTGGCATGGTTCTCCAAGACATTTTAATTTGGACAGCAGAGAGTTTGTTTCCTTCAGACTTCTATTTCTGCCAGGCTTCTGAGCTGATGTAGCTTTTTTTTTTTTTTTTAATTTGATTTATATGCCGCCCTTCTCTGGAGATTCAGGGCGGTTTACAGTGCGTTAAGCAATAGCCTTCATACTTTTGTATATTTTATACCAAGTCAGCTTATTGCCCCCATAAACTGGGTCCTCAATTTACCTACCTTAGAAAGGATGGAAGGCTGAGTCAACCTTGAGCCTGGCAAGATTCGAACTTACTTTAATTGCAGACAGCTGGTGTTAAATTACAGTGCCTTGTCTGCAGAGCTATTCAAAACCAGGTTGCTTTGGCAACCTGGTTTTGAAAGCAAGATGAGACCAACAGCTGAGGACGGAAGGGTGGAGAAGCTGCAAAATATAGGAGAAGGGACACTCACATTTACAGTCCCATCACCCTGTCAGCAATTTGGCAGCTGTTCTAGAGTTTTTGAACTCTTTTGTATTATAGGTGGGAGGCTCCCTTCTGTTGCAATATGCAACACTTCCGTTGCTCCCTCCTCCACTCCACAGCATACACTGGTAAGGTGTTAAGAGACAGATAACAAGTGCTGAGAGAGGTTTTATGGTGCAGTGGGAGGGGGCTCTCACTGCATCATGCAACCAGATTGTTCAGTGTTGCACTTGGAGTCTTTCTCCAATTACACAATTTAGTCCAGGGGTGCTATTCAGCAGGTTCTGACAGGTTCTGGAGAACTGGTAGCGGAAATTTTGAGTAGTTCGGAGAATGAGCAAATACAGTTGTGCTCATAAGTTTACATACCCTGGCAGAATTTATGATTTCTTGGTCATTTTTCAGAGAATATGAATGATAACATGAAAACTTTTCTTTCACTCATTGTTAGTGTTTGTCTGAAGCCATTTATTATCAATCAACTGTGTTTACTCTTTTTCAGTCATAATGACAACAGAAACTGATCACAAGTTTATATACCCCAGTTCTTAATATGGTGTATTGCCCCCTTTAACATCAATAACAGCTTGAAGTTTTTGTGGTATGTGCTCTTTATCTTCTCAGATGGTAAAGCTGCCCATTCTTCCTGGCAAAAAGCCTCCAGGTCCTGTAAATTCTTGGACTGTCTTGCATGAACTGCACGTTTGAGATCTCCCCAGAGTGGCTCAATGATATCGAGGTCAGGAGACTGAGATGGCCACTGCAGAACCTTCACTTTATTTTGATGTAGCCAATGACAGATTGACTTGGCCTTGTGTTTAGGATTATTGCCATATTGGAATGTCCAAGTACGTCCCATGCGCAGCTTCCGGGCTGATGAATGCAAATTATCCTCCAATATCTTTTGATAACATACTGCATTCATCGTGCCATCAATTCTGACCAAATTTCCTGTGCCTTTGTAGCTCACACATCCCCAAAACATCAGCAATCCACCTCTGTGTTTCACAGTAGGAATGGTGTACTTTTCATCATAGGCCTTGTTGACTCCTCTCCAAATGTAGGGTTTATGGTTGTGGCCAAAAAGCTCAATTTTGGTTTCATCACTCCAAATGACTTTGTGCCAGAAGGTTTGAGGCTTGTCTCTGCGCTGTTTGGCGTATTGCAAGCGGGATACTTTGTGGCATTTGCATAGTAATGGCTTTCTTCTGGCGACTCGACCATGCAGCCCAACTTTCTTCCAGTACCTCCTTATTGTGCATCTTGCAACAGCCACACCACATGTTTTCAGAGAGTCCTGTATTTCACCTGAAGTTATTTGTGGGTTTTTCTTTGCATCCTGAACAATTTTCCTGGCAGTTGTGGCTGAAAGTTTAGTTGGTCTACCTGACCGTGGTTTGGTTTCAACAGAACCCCTCATTTTCCACTTCTTGATTAGTGTTTGAACACCACTGATTGGCATTCTCAATTCCTTGGATATCTTTTTATATCACTTTCCTGTTTTATACAATTCAACTACCTTTTCCCGCAGATCCTTTGACAATTCTTTTCTTTCCCCATGACTCAGAATCCAGAAACATCAGTGCAGCACTGGATGAAGGATGCAAGGGTCTGTCAGGAGGCCAGAAACTCATTGATCTTTTATATATACACACACTAATTACATGCAAACAGATCACAGGTGAGGATGGTTACCTTTAATAGCCATTCATACCTCTTTGTGTCAACCTGTGAGCATGTTATCAGGCCACAATCACCAGGGTATGTAAACCTTTGATCAGGGTCATTTGGGTAGTTTCCATTGTCATTATGATTAAAAAAGAGTAAACACAGTTGATTGATAATAAATGGCTTCAGGCAAACACTAACCATGAGTGAAAGAAAGGTTTCCATGTTATCATTCATATTCTCTGAAAAATGGCCAGGAAATCATAAATTCTGGGTATGTAAACTTATGAGCACAACTGTACCACCTCTGGCTGGCCCCAGAATGGGGTGGGAATGGAGATTTTACAATATCCTTCCACTAGGAGTGGGGAGGGAATGGAGATTTTGCAGTATCCTTCCCCTGCTACGCCCATCAAGCCACGCTCACAGAACTGGTAGTAAGAAAATTTGAATTCCACCACTGATTTAGTCCCTTTCACTTTATCCTGGCTGACATAGTGAATTCGGTGATGCCATAAAAGTCTCCCTTCATCTGTATTGTAGAGCTCTCTCCTCTCCACATGCCCCCATCAGCCAAGATATAGACCAGGTTTTAACATTTTGAATTTCTGCTTCAGACTTGAGAAGTGGAACTGTAGTTAAAGATCAAGAGACCACAAATGTAGCTTTCTTTTTATCAAAACCTGAGTTGATCTAGCAAAGTATTATGCAAATTAGCAACTTTGAAGCAAGAACATGTCTCAGAGTCTGTTCTAGTTCAGTTTTTCCAAACTGAGAAGTCTTTTTATGAAAAAAAATCCATGCCTAACAACCTAATATCAAATATTAGCAATAGATTTTGCTATGTTTTAGCTTATAGAGTATCAGAAAGTCTTGCTGATTTCCTAGTTACAGGTTAATCCACCTATTTTTTAATAGGTCAGGTAGTGGGAAGTAGACAGTAGACTACAAATTCAGAACTCTTCCATCAAGTGTATCGAATAGGATTTACTGAACTGATATTTCCCCCACCCCCTCCTTAAGACCGTTATATATTGCAGATGAGTTCTGCCATGTTGGAAAATGGAACTTTCTCATTTCAAGTAAAACAAAACCTGAGTACGTTATACATGTTTAAGACAGATGGCTGTGTCATTTATAAATATCACATAATGCATAGCAAAGTAGTGAGAGCATCCAAGGACTGAATGAAGATCAGAGCACACAAGATTTGGGGTCAGTGAGGCCCTAGTAGTAACCAGGTTTGAGCAGTGGTGGGATTCAATTTTTTTTTACTACCGGTTCTCTGGGCGTGGCTTAGTGGGCATGGCATGACTTGATGGGCATGGCTTGGTGGGCATGGGGAAGGATACTGTAAAATCTCCATTCCCTTCCCACTCCAGGGGAAGGTTACTGCAAAATCCCCATTTCCTCCTTATCAGCTGGGACTTGGGAGGCAGAGAATAGATGGGGGCTGGGCCAGTCGAAGTTGGCATTTACCAGTTCTCCGAACTACTCAAAATTTCCGCTACCGGTTCTGCAGAACTGATCAGAACCTGCTGAATACTACCTCTGGGCTTGAGTAATGTCTTTGGATCTCACAACACTTACCTATCAGGATCAAAGTGATCTGAATCAATGACCTCGGTCAGGATCCCATTGTTGTACCACAAATAACTGAATTAAGCAGACATTAAATAGGTAAATAAGACATTATTATCTGCTAATGCAGATAATGCAGAGCATTATTAACTGCTAATGCAGTTATATTTTGAGGTTAGGGAGAGAGATGGACAATAATTTCTCATATCTGCCTCATAATAATCAAGAGGAATGAAAAAATAAACGTAATCCGATTTTTAGCCCATTGTTAAAGAGCAAGCAAACAAGCTGTACAGGTTTTTATTCCTGTTAGCAAAGATCTGGTACTTAAATTTTGTCCTCTGTTCATAGATTTATGTAAGAAAGCTCTCATTAATCAGGGCAAAGTGTCAACAGTGCATTAAGAGTTTAAAGAATAAACTGTAGCATATGCGGGAATTATGATAGGACTCTGTACAGTATAACTGTAAGCATGAAGTTGTAAGTATGACATATTTTCATGGTAAATTTAAGAAAGAATTAAATCTGAACTGTATTCAGATGGTGCTCAATGATTTAACCTCCACTGGAAAAAAATGGCAACATATAAAACTCATGCTGTATATAGCTAACATGATTTAGAGTTTAGATGATTAACATCAACCTTGCTTTAATGTATTAGTATAAGCTGTCCGTCCCCCCCCCCCAGTGATTTGGCAAACAGAAATCTATAAAGAAAGAGAGACTGCAGGATTTGAATAGCCAACTGCTGATGAGTGAAGGTTAACATAACTACCAGTAGAGATTGGAAAGGTTATGAAAAAGTTACACTACTTTCACTGGAAGTTTCACTAAGGAACAGCACATTGAAAACCAAATAACTTACACAATTCCATAAGTTCTTGACTTAGAATTGTAATACAGTCCAAGGGATAAAGCTTTGGGATTGACTGTGGAAAGTCAGAGTTCACAGTATAGACTGAATAGCTTTGAGTAGATTGATATGTTTTGAGTACCTTCTCTTTCTCACAGTGAATGAATGACTTAGGCATTTGCAGCAGAAATGCATACATTCCAAGGAATGCTTTATGCTACCTGGCTGATAAGAAAATCTGGGATTTGGGATAGTTTAATTTCCCATAAGGAAATGTTTCCTTAGAAGGAAAGATTATTGGGTTGGCACCGATGGAGGAATCATATAACACAAGAGAGAGATAAGAAAGAAGCAAAAAATTGAAATAAAAGTATGAAAATAGCTAGCAAATAAACTGGTTTTTCGCAAAGCTTTAAAAAACTTGACTATATACCCAGGCCAGGGACTCAGAATATGTGAAGGGCTCTATTACTTGGCTTTACTATCACTTAATTAATCCTCACTGCTGCTATTTTGTGGATGTTTTTATTGTTCTGATGTCTTTTACATAGTTTTAGAATTGTAAGCCATCCAGAGTCATTTGATTGAGTTTGGGGGAGAGGGGGCTATAGAAACTGAGTAAATAAATAAAATAAGTACATAAATACAATATATTTAGAGAGCTCTAGCTTTGAAGATTTATGGTTTAATCAAGAAAAATATGGACTGGTAAACTCAATTTGGGTTGGACCAGGTTTACATTGCTGAAGACTTGTTAGTTTCAGGCAAATCCAGATAAGAGTCCTGAAGACCCCACAACAGAAGATGAATTAAGGGACAAAGTCTCTGTTGCATAAATAATCTCCAGGGATTAAAGAGAATTGAAGAGCAAAGGTTTACCAATCAAAGAAAAGCCAGCAGACAGTCTGAGTCACAGAGGAAAAATTGCCATCAGCATCTCTAAACTCTTCCTAAACTCTGAATTAGGAAGTAGGTAGAATATACTATAGAAACAGAAAAAGTCATCCTCACAGTGCATATTTATTTATTTATTTATTTTATTTATTAAATTTATATACCGCCCTACTCCCGAAGGATTCAGGGCGCTGAACAGCCAAAAGATAAAATACACATAGTACAAACGTTAAAAACCATTTAAAATACATTAAATACTTTGGCCCAAAACAAATTTAAAACACCCCAATTTATAAGACAAACCTAAAAAGCAGTTTAAAGGGAAGTTAGGCCAGGCCAGCCTGCTGGAATAAGAATGTTTTGAGGGCACGGCGGAAAGTGCGCAGATCCAGGATCCTCCGTATCTCCGGGGGAGCTCGTTCCAGATGGCAGGTGCCCCCACAGAGAAGGCTTTCCCCCTGGGGGCTGCCAGTTGACACTGTTTGACTGACGGCACCCTGAGAAGCCCCTCTCTATGGGAGCGTACTGATTGGTGAGAGGCTACTGGTGGCAGAAGGCAGTCTCGTAGATACTCCGGTCCTAAGCCATGGAGCGCTCTAAAGGTGGTAACCAAAACCTGGAGCACACCCGGAAGACCACTGGGAACCAGTGCAGCTTGCGCAGGAGGGGAGTCACATGGGAGCACCACGTCACTCCCATAACCACTTGCGCGGCCGCATTCTGGACCAGCTGGAGCCTCCGGGTGCTCCTCGAGGGGAGCCCCATGTAGAGAGCATTGCAACATTCAAGTAGAAAGTACTTAGGTAGAGGGAAAATTTCACTTACTTTGCAATTTGGAAATTCAAGTGGTTATGCTCATCTAAAAATGGGAAGAGGAAGATGGGTTGTCATTCCAGCTATAAATAACTTGCTAACTCTGCTACGGAATGTAACTTGGGAAACAAATTAAGCGTGGAACTAAAACTGTTTGCTTGCTTGCTTGCTTGTGTATCTGACCCTGAATAAAAAAAAAAAAAAGGGGGGGGAATCCTGAAATATTATTTTGTTCTGATTTACTATCAAATTCTATGACTCTACTGAAAGCTTCAATTAGAGTAAACATTTACTATTTTTGTAAAAGAGGATGAATGAGCCTAAGAAATTAAAAACCCACATGAAGTCAACATTAGATAATAAATGTTTAGATTTAGCCAGAAGGTGTGTTATAAAGCCTGCTTTTGATACTTGAATTTATTTATTTAACAATACTTATAGAAGAGAATAGTTGTAACTCAGGATTAACCTCTGAGATTCTTGGTGCTCTTTGAGCTGGGTTGATTTCTCGCAAATGTTTCATTACCAAACTATATAATATTGTCAGTGAACTTTTGGTAATTGAGTCTCCGAAGCTATTTGTTTTTGGAGACTGCTTGTATTTCTTTTTCTTATTGCTCTGCAGGTGCAAAATAATGGCCTTATTTAATGTGACTCCCTCTTTGCTGGAGAGGAAGAAGACACAGGTATGTATACTAAGTTTTTGTGGGGAATGTTCCAGTCACCCAAAGTTGCTTAGATCTGCTGAGAGTTAGAATCCTACTGGATGAGTCCATGTGAGTCCAAGACCGAGGCATTGTCTTGTCCTGTTATTTGGAAGTCTGTAGCTCCTGAAAGAATGGACAACATATTTCAGATTGCTAACCTGGCCATTTGTCCTATAGATTGGTGTCTCACCAGGTCAATTAAGGTTGCCCAGAAGATGATATATGGTGAATGCATCCTTGAGTAAAGGAAGGATTGCATCTTCCCTGAAGGAGACATTGGTGTGGCCCCTCTTTTTGAAATCATTGCTGGACCCAACAGTTTTATCTAATCTCCAACTTTCCTGGCTGCTGACTTATTTTCAGTGAATCCAAGATCTATTTGTTACCAACAGAAAAGAAATTAGAAACACATTTTTCTCTTATCAGATGCATTGCCATTTACTTGAAGAATATACATATTCATTTTTTTCCTGATGGAATTGGTACAATAATAATCTGCAGTGCAAAACTTTAGAAACAAATTAATTGCGACAACTGAGTCAGAAGTCCGCAAGTCAATTCATACAAGATTGCTAGGCAAAAGAATAATTAGATTCAATCCATTACATATCAAAAGTAATAACAGTTGCAAATGGAATAGGCAAAGGCTGTGAAGTCCAGATTTTTAAGTACAAGGCAAAAGCTGTGAAACTAAGGATTATAAAGAGGGTTTTTTTTTACACCACTGGTACTTTTTATTGTCCTTTTTCTATCCAAGGGCTTAGGACACACAGAATCAAATAAAGATTCACAACCTTCACTTTCTGACCTAAAATCTCTACTCACATATACACATACCCATTCATATAGCCCAAGGCTTAGTGTCTCGACAAGATTTGAGTTCTACAAGAATCAGAGCAGGACATCTACTAAGCGGCATATCTAATCCCCTGTGATAACAAAAGATTACAGTTCCCATTTACTTTTATAAATTTATAGTTTTGTTTACTTGAACACATGACACAAGGGGCATATATATATATAGGAACCACCCAATCAATACTTATGATGGTTACATAGTCACATTGATTGTGGAGATTGTCAAAGTTATTTTCTAACAACTGGACTAACCAGCCATGTAAGCTCTTAAATTGTTCCAGGCAAAGGAGCCTATCTAAGACTTATGGCTGGTACTCATTAGCGCTTTCCCATTAGCAACTCTCAGAGTATTACTCCCACGGAGCCCGCCTTATAATCTCGTCTGCCAGTGTACTTTATCTTACTGCTTCTCCACAAGACGGCCATTATCCCTTGGAGGATTCAGAGATTGAGATGTTGGGGCACATGACATAAAGATGAAAGGGGTAAACTTTACTTCAATCCTTTGCTAGTGCCTGGATCCATGAGTAAGGGATCTCCTTTTTTCTTTGTAAAAGTTTTTTTATTTTTATTTCTCATAAACATATTTAAATGTACAATCTCTTATCGATTATTAATCATACATATTATCTTTTGACTTTCATATTAGTTCATTCTTCATCCTATAAAATTAGGATATATTAGGGTATGTTCCAGGGGTGGGTTCTACTTACCTTTACTACTAGTTCGCAGTGGGACCGCACACGCGCGCTCGCTTTGCTTGCATGCGCAGAAGCCTTTTATGATGTCGGGGTCGGTGGGCAGAGCCTCCCTCCAGTTTTACTACTGGTTCTATAGAACCGGTGCGAACCGAGGGCAACCCACCACTGGTATGTTTGAAGTTGCTCTTCTACCATTCCCTCTCCCTTATTTTACAACAACCTTTCATCTCCTTCTTCCCTTCCCTTCCTTCTTCTATCCCTTTCTACTTTCTTCTTTCCTCCTCTCCTTCCCCTCCTCTCCTTCCTCTCCTCTCCTTCCCATTCCCTTCCCCCACTCCTCTCCTCCTCCTCCCTTTCTAACCCTCTCTCCTACTCTTATTTCCCATCCTAGTAAGGGAGCTCCTAAAGGCCATCTTCTTGTTCTCCATCATGCACCTGTCTCAGGCCTGAGATGGTCACAACAAATGAGAACAATACTGGATTAAAATGGAAAGAGTTCTAATTCTATTTCAATTGTATATGGTCATTTCTTTCTTTCTTTTTTTTTAAATTAAAACCCATAAGCTCTATAATGATGGAAAAGTAAATTAAATATTATTCTAAAATAATAAAACTATGTTCTAATTTTTTATTTTTATTTATTTGTATCCCATTGTTTTGGTTTTTTTTTACAAATAACTCAAGGCAGTGAACATATCCAGTATAGCTTTTTCCTCCTATTTTTCCCACAACAAGCCTGTGAGGTGGGCTGACCTGAGACAGAGTCATCCAAGGTCATCCAGCTGGCTTTCATGGTTAAGGCAGGTTTAGAACTCACAATCTCCCTTTTTCTAGCCTGGTGCCTTAACCACTAGACCAAACTGGCTCTCCTAATATTTTTAATTATATTTAATTAATACTAATATTAATTACAATATCCATATTAAAAGAATTCCTAATTTATATACAGTATTGACCCATCAAATATGCTCAGCTGTTAACAAAACTTTACCGGGTTGACTTGGAACTAGTACAAAACAGAAAAATCTTATCATAGGCACTGCTATTTCCAAAAGATGATACAGAACAGAGGGGTGGGGGTGGGGGAAATCAAAATGCATGTCTGGAAATAAGATCCTCCATCTGTCTTGTTTTAAAAGCATCAGCAAACAAGTGTCATGAGGGTGTTAGTCAGGTTTGACCTAATTATATGTGGTAAGTCATTCAATTACTTTAACACCTGCAGATTCATCTGGTAACAAAGACATTCCCTACCCTGAAGAGCTGGTTGCCTTAATTGAAGACTGAAATGAAATAAACAGGAGTGGAAAAGTAGAAGGCATTGTGCCTAGTTCATATTCCAAATGGCGTAGGTCGGTATGCAGCTTTGCAAATGAGGATTAAGAGCTTTCATAAGCACACGAAAATCTATTTCAGTTGCAATGATCAGGTGAGAAGACCCACGAGGTCATTCATAACAGACTGTTGCAAAGTACTATGAAAGAATAAGAAAATGGATTGATGTTTGTTTTCCTTTGCTGAATAGAGGTACTAGTTCTCGACTTACAACCATTTGTTCCATGACCATTCGTAACTTTTCCAGCTGGCTCTGACAAGCAAAGTCAATGGGGGAACCCAGCTTCACTTAATGTCTGCGTAATTCCCTTAACAACTGCAGTGATTCACTTAATAACTGTGGCAAAGAAGGTTGTAAAATGAGGCACAACTCACTTAACAACTGTCTTGCATAGCAGCATAATTTTGGGCCTCAATTGTAGTTGTAAGTTGAGGACTAGCTGTAATTAAAACTACAGGAGAAATTGTAGTGATTGTTTTAATAACCCTTCTGCTTCCTTCAGCATTTGGCTAGTAGCAGCTTTTGATGGAAAATTTCCCACTGCTTTTTAAGACGCTATAAACACTTGTCATCTTGAATGATTAGAAGCAGAATATGGTGATGAGCATCAACATACAACATCAAGAAATGTGAGGGTTATTCTGAAAATGTACATGTTGTTGCAGATTCTATTGACTTTTGTCTTTGAGTGACCCTGCCTCTTGCAGTCCCCCTGAATAATTTTTCCCAGGTCAGGGATAAGCAACCCACAGTCTCTGGGTTAGATCTGATCCCCAACAGCTCCATGGTTTGGATTTCCCAAATCATGAGATTGTACTGTTAAAATTCAGCAACAAAATGGTAGCTGTGTGATTTCAGGTCAATTTGAGGTACCAATACTACTCTATAAAGCCTTAGTAAGACCACACCTAGAATACTGCATCCAGTTTTGGTCACCACACTATTAAAAAGATGTTGAGATTCTGGAAAGAGCGCAGAGAAGAGCAACAAAGATGATTAGGGGACTGGAGGCTAAAACATATGATATAAAACATAGTTACAGAAACGGGTGATGGCTGGTCTAATGAAGAGAAGGTCCAGAGAGAGTAATGCTCCAATATTTGATGGGCTGTCACAGGGAGGAGGCGGTCAATCTATTTTTCCAAAGCACCTGAAAGACCACACATGGAGTAATGGATGGAAACTGATCAAGGAGGGATTCAACCTAGAAATAAGGAGAAATTTTCTGACAGTGAGAACAATCAACCAATGGAACAGCTTGCCTTCAGAAGTTGTGGGAGCTTCATCTTTGGAAGCTTTCAAGACGAGACTGGACTGCCATCTATCAGAAATGGTATAGCATCTCCTGATTGAGCAGCAGGTTGGACTAGATGACCTACAAGGTCCCATCCAACTCTGTTATTCTATTCTAAATTTGGGAAGGCTAAAGACTTCCTGTTTTCACATACTCTTAAATTACTAAAGTGCTAAAAGTAAAGTAAAACCCAGATAATTCCCCCCCCCTCAGGATTTGGGATTGTTTAAAAATGGGAATGATAGCAATTTCCATCCTAGAGACAACTTTCTGCATGTCTCAGTCAAAGTAGAGGCAATGGTGTGAGATGATTTAGAGTGGGAGCCTCTTAATAGGGCAGATGTTCATATGTCCATATCACTACCAACACTGGTGAAGGGGTCTTACATCAGATTTTGGCTAAGATTAAATGTAGTATTGCCTCTAGAGAAAATACTTATGCTACTATTCTTTTTGTTTTCCTTTCTGAAGAAAGCAGCAGAAAGCATCTTCTGGTAGACCAGTTGCTCCATTCAGTTTCCCAAACAACCGCTTGGCAGTGGATCGAATACCCTGTTAAAGTGGGAGTTTTGGCTTGAGCAAGCTCTCCCACTTCCCTGGGCCTTTTACCCACCCCACCAAGCAACTGTTTTGTTGACCTGATTTGAATGTGATTTGGTTGAATGCTCTTTGAAATTTCTAGGCTTGCTGGACCCTGTATCAAAACACCTGCTGAACAATTGATTGGTGGGATGGCTGAGCTACCCATTAAAATAGAGGAAGTAACTATGTGCCCATCTGTTAAAACATTGGCAGAATTTTCCATCAACTGGCAATTTTCAGAAATGGGGGAGTCAGCAAAAGCTACACTTTTGCTTTCATGCAAGTCACACACCAGAAATTAGAACACCTCTATCTAGCAGCAAGCCAGGAACCGAGGCTATAGGGAAAGAGTAGAGAAGGGCTGTGAGCATATCAAATTTTATGGAATAAAATTTTCTGCCAGTAACAGATGGATATCATTTCATGGGAGTCTTCAACGCCACCCAAATGTGTGTTAAAAAATGGCCGTATTTCTTCTGTGTTATTCCTGGATAGAACCTACAACCTGCCAGAAGCTCAGGAGCTCAGCTGCAGCTGCTAACTATTGAAAAGTTGCCTATGATTACTGCAGGTCTGTAGCCCATCTAAGTCTTTTCTAGGTCAAGACTTCCCTGACCTACTGGCTTGTCCGTAAGTTCCATGACACCTTCCATAATTTTTCACTTGTAGGACATCAATTTGGAGAAGCTGGTTAATATATGAAAAGGTTACAGTAGTAAATTTATCTGCTCAAAGAATCTGATACATATGCTATAAATTCAGTCACAGCACCAGCTGGTTAAAAGCCTATCTTCCTCAAAACTAAGGAAGAAAAGCTTACAAATTAAATACAATGATATTATAATTCTATTTCTAGATTAGGTGGCCAGAAGCTATTCTATCTGAGCTTTGTAAAAGGAGAGCTGTATTGGTCTCGGAGGTTGTTGGGGTCTGTGATGATGCTGTTGGTATAAATGTGAGGGCAGAGTAAATAATAGCACCATTTCAGGCCTCAACAATTTAATACATAATATTAGAAATGCCTTTACACGCTTTTCTTCTAGTTTGATATGTGAACTTCTGCCAAGAATCCTTGTTTGAATTCTATATAGGACAAAAAAAATCAATGGACACAAGTTTGAAATCAGGACTCAAAACAAGGACAAAATAATCTCAAACTTGTAGGACTGAACCTGATATGATTAGACAAGATATTTTATTCCAGATACAATCATAGTAAGGGGGGGGGGAAACTCAGCTTCTACAAAAACTAAAAATCATTTTCTTTGTATAGGCATGGCCCAGGTTTAAATTTTAAGGTTTCTTCACTCATTTTTTTTTTGGCTTGTTTTCTTTTCCGAGCTGCACCTGGAAAATGTCTGTAAACATGATTAACCCCAAGAGGCTTATTTTATTTATTATTCAAATGTATACTCCCTTGTTTCTTCTAGATCACAGATGGTAGCAAAAAGAAATCAATCAATCCATCAATCAATTCTGCAATGTAATGGTCATTCAGAGTTTTGCACCCATAGATTTGGTACTCCTTATTCAGTACGTTCTGCCAGATAAGCAAATGAGAAAGGTTGCCTACCACAAATTACCATATTTAAGGCTACCATATTTGGGCTGCAAATCTGGGCCACCTCTCTCTCTGATGTATGTATGTATGTATGTATGTATGTATGTATGTATGTATGTATGTATGTATGTATCTATCTCTTTAGCCAGGTTCTTCCTACGTAAACCAAGATTTTTATGCAGCCCTAGTTCAGTGAAATCCCAATCCACTAGTTTCTAGGCTTTTTTTTCCCCCAGCAGCCAGCAAGCACCCTGCTCCCATTGGTACCTGCGAAAACCTCAGAAAACACACACACACACACACACACACACACACACAGAGAGAGAGAGAGAGAGAGAGAGAGAGAGAGAGAGAGAGAGAGAGAATTCCTTTTGCTGCTATCTGATGTATATTCAGTGTGTTACAACTCTTACATAGTAGTCCTAGCTGCACAGGAAATAAATCAGCAGTGACAGCATAGAATTAGGGGTGAACAATCGGGATTAATAAAAAGATTAAAATGCTACATTGTAGAATATGATGTTCTTGTGTCATCTGATTTCCTTTGTGGTTATCTTGTACTTCCATATCTAACTTATTATTTGAAACAGTCACTGTGATGCAAGAGAGCTTCCTTTATCAACACATTATTGGTAAGCCACTTCTGACTGAGAGCTTCTGACACTCAATCTAATTAATTTTTACACCAATCCTAATTATTGTTAGTCATCTTTATTGTAGTATTAAAATTTTCAGGGGCTTCTTTTAGCTCCTTGAAATCTGGCCAATGTAATTTTTTCTTTCCCACTCCTCCAGTTTGCTAAATGATACCAGAACTACAGAAACTGCCTACAGCACATATTGTAACTTCCATTTTCTGGTCTCCACCCAAAATACAACCAATGTAGATACTTTAAAGATTCCTCAGGAGGAATTTATTTGGGAATTATAAAATTGTATACAGAAGATAGCTGCAATGTAAGACCTTAGAAACATTTTGCTTGAACATAGATTTGCACATATGTGACTCTATGTATTTCCCTGTGATCCCAAATGTTCTATAAATTCAGATTTGATGGTGGTTGTTAAACAAATAAACCTATACCCTATATACCAAAAAGAATAGTTAACTCTCATGTAGGCTAAAGCTGATGTTTGAGGACATTGTATCACTTTGCCCATGACAGAGCTGGGGGCTCAATTTGTTGGATTGGACATTACTGAAAAATAGACTTCAAAATGCTGAATTGTAAAAGAGCTTTTGTAGCTATTTGTGGTTACTCTTTATTTTTGTTCTTTGTTTTTGCACAGTCATACATCTTACAGCACGGATACCACTTTAGACTGCAAACATTTACTGTAAATGATGTAGTCCTCTGGATTTTGGCCTCCCAAATTTGGCCCTATTTAAAGTTGTCATGCACATTTCTTTCTCATTCTTTTTTTTCTGATAAAATGGACAAAATATACTTTCTGTTGCTAATGGAGAAGATAAAATGTTACTACAGTATATGTCTCCAACCCACATTTTCTCAGTTTTGGCTTGCTTTGCCATTTTACAATAATCTCCCAGCCACCACCCAGCTTTCAAAATAGCCTTAAGTTTCAGCCAAAAGTTAATAAAGCAAAATCTTTGGGCAGCATCAGTGCAGAGATCAGTGAACATAAAAAAATATCTGGTGGATTACTAAGATCTGTTTTTTAATGTGTTTTTTTGTCTGGAAGGACAACATTTCCTATTTATC